CCCCCCTCCCATTTTATGGAAATCAGAAGATTTGGTTATTTTTGGCCTATGAAAATAAGACGATTGGAACAGTACCAATTAAATCGCAATATTTGGGGAGTTATGCAGTATGCTACACCAAGCATTGTGTATGGACCCTGTCCTGTTCATTATAGCAGCAGTGTACTGTATATCAATATACGCTACTCAAAAAATTAAAGGATCAGACATTTCAGCCAGGTGTGCACCTCATTGACTTGGCCTATTGTACACTGAAGCTCATGTTCATGCTTGGCTGAGCACCATTGAATGTGAGACAATGTAATTGATTAGTCGTGTTTCAGAGCCCAATTAGCTGGAAAGGTTAAAGAGCATTGGGTGATGTGTATTGCTCAGGTATTGCACAGCTTCAAAACGGCTACCTTTTATTCTCTTTGCACATAAATTAACGATGGGATGACTCTGAGGCAAGGCGGTAAGAAACTGGGAGTGTCTTAGAGAGTTGGGGGGGGGTACAATGAAACAAATGAGACTGGCCAGTACCATACCTATTGTGGTAAACTGATGTACATGTACGTGTCTCACTTTAGGACATTTGAGAAGTGACCGACTGAAATATTGGACCTCTTACCATTTTGTATTCAGGTTCTGGGAAACTTGGAATCTTTTTTTTCTTACGTCCCAACAACCGTTACTAATTGATTTTTGTATCAATCATCATTCATCAAAGAGGGCGTGAATTTTTTACCAGGAGGAAAATTTGACCAACTGCATTCAAAAACTACACAGCTGGTCAAATTTCTTGCTTTTCTTATGTGATCAAATACCCCCACCTTTAACCTATAAGGCATCATCAGAAATTGCATTACTTTACTGAAGAAAAGGATCTCAACAGTTACATGTAATTTTTTCATGCTGAGATACATCTTCAAAGTGCTTCATTTGTGTGATTCAGAATCACTGAAAGTCCCCTCAAATTACCAGAATATGCTCATAAACGGTGCCCCAACATTACCGCGATATTATTCTAACTCATAAGCAGCGCCCTCACATTACCGCGATATCGTTCTGACTCATAAACAGCGCCCTCACATAACCGCGACATTATTCAGATTCATAAACAGCGCCCTCACATTGCCGCGATATCTTTCTAACTCATAAACAGCGCCCTCACATTGCCGCGATGTCGTTGACTCATAAACAGCGCCCTCACATAACCGCGACATCATTCAGATTCATAAACAGCGCCCTCACATTGCCGCCATATCTTTCTAACTCATAAACAGCGCCCTCACATTGCCGCGATATCGGTGTAATTCATAAACAGCGCCCTCACATTGCCGCAATATCGTTCTGACTCATAAACAGCGCCCTCACATTTTTAATACATCATTTTCAGGGCCATAAAGGACCTGAACAAGGTGCTTACCAAAGTTTTCTTTCAGTGTTGTGAGACTTCAGTACTCTGTAGTGGAAGTTTCTTATTTTGCTGACAGGAAATAGCCAAATTTAATGATGCTCATTTTTTGCAATGTGAACACCATTTGTTTAAAATATTATTGACTAATTATGATCTTTTGATCCTTTGAGTAGTGTACAAATGCAGATAGACTTGCTCCATCACTTAAAGGTGGAAGCAAGGAACTGCATCTGTGAGAAGATTGAGTCCTTTCCTTGCCTTTTTGTGAATCAATTCCTAAGATACCGATGAGGAACCCTCAAGCAATCTTGGAAACTGTTCCTCTTCAGTGATGGAGGTGAGGACTGGCATCTATCCGAGTTACTTCCTCTCCTTGACCTTCTCATGAATCATCATTGTGAAGTCCCATAGGATCTTGTCCTCAATTTTCCTTCTCTCCAGGTTGAAGGAGGCGAGGGCACTCTTCTCATCAGCATCAGGGTCTGCTTTTTCTGGGGCACACCCACAGCTTTCATTTGAGGAGGTCTGGGGAAAAAATTAATCAGAAAAGGAACTAAGCTGCAGCAGAAATTGAAATATTTTGTCAAAATTATAGGATCGTGGTACGCTCTTTATTTATAACAAAAACTGTTAGCGTCTACTGCTTTTCATCTATTTTCATGAACTATGACAAGAGGATTCTTCGACACAGCTGACCCATTACTTCTGGAAGCATTTGTCATTTGTTAAAAATATTTTTCCAGACACCCCTTTACGGTTTAGTGAATCAAAAAGTGACATTTTTAAACACTTACAATTGTCTTCCACTTTTCCTAACAAGTGGAGGCGCTGTTTTATAATGTCAATCAGGGAGGACAACAAATCTAAAATATCTATGGACCAACAGCTCCTCTACAGAAATTGACTGATCCCGAAAGTATAGGCAGAAACATTTCAACAGTGTGCACAAGTCAAACACAGTTGGAAACACAGTTCTCAGTGCAATATCAGATAAAACTTGAGAAAATGTTAAATTTGCTTTTCAAAATTTTTTCAAACAAAACAAGAGGGATGTCAGGAATTTATCTGAATTTCACATAATGTGCACCTTGGCTTTTACTAATGGCTTGTAATATTGGGCAATATTATAAGGAACAAAAATTGAACTGTGACAGGTTAGAACTTTATTACAAAGACCAACAGGGCCAAATAATATCTGATGGACAGTTGCTACAGTTGCCCCCAATCCATCTTCTTTGATGTAAAGCAGTGCTGCACGGCAAATCATGAAGCCCCAGGAGACAAGGCAGCCATTTGCCCATGGTTATTAAAAATGGAGACTTTCCCTAAATTATGCCCCTGCTGTTGTCGGTCTAAAGGTATTAGATGATTAAATGCTTCATTTCATGAGTTTTACTATAAAAATTATGAAACTCCAAATTGTTCCTTGAACATGTTGAACATGTCTCAGGAAATGTGGACCATTCATCAAGGGTAATTTTTCGTGAAACAGCAATGAAGGAAAAGGAACTTTAGGTCAGGAAAATATGAACAATTCCAGTATAGTGGGTGCATTCAACTACACATGTAGCTTGCCCCGGTTACAAGGGTTTAACCTCATCCCTATCGTCTTGCTTGGTTGACACAATGCAAACAGCCATCCCTTGGTTAGGGTTGCCCTAGAACCTAGCCACAACCACCGAAGGGTGGATCCAGGACCCAATTTCTTTTTTTGGGGGGGGTCAAGGACAAACTTGATTCTAAGGGCCAATTTCTTTTTCAATTTTTAAAGTTGTTTTAGGGGTTAGGCTACATTTCTACTTTTCAAAAGAAGGGAAATTGAACAGACCAAAAAGATCCTTTCATTTTTTGAAACGAAACCAATTTTTACTCCTTTTTGGTCATGAACCCAATTGGCCCTTCCTTCCTTTCCTGGATTCATCCTTGCAGAAAGCCAGCAATGATATGAAACACAGGACTCTAACCTGTGCTACTCATGACGTAACCTGCCTCTTCACTTTGGAGATTTCATCAGTCAACCCACTCGCACCATGTAGGTACATGTAGGCAGCTGTGGCAGTACATTCACCTGGCAATGAGGCATTCCCAACTCTAAACACAGGGAAAAATAACAAAAAACAAGAAACGGTCACATAAGGTTTTTCAGTCACACTGTAATAATAAATTTTTCCCCAAATGAGCCAAACATCCACGTTTCAACCCATCATCACATAGACTCTTTTTGTGGGTGGCTGTTAAATCCATAAAACCATACAGTGCTGGGGAGTGCAGGGGGTAACAGGCTGGGTGGGGTCAGGGCCCAATTTCATGGGGCTGCTTAACACTGTCATAATAAATAAAAATTGTGCTAACTTTGGCAGAAAAATGTGCTAACCTTGAGTACTATTTTATGGCAGTGCTTGGGGTGGTTGTGCTAACTCTTGTGTGCGGATAGAGATTTCTGTTGTTACATCACTAAGTTTAAGCAAATCTTTCCTCCAAGGTTAGGATGCATTTGGCTGTATTTACTGTTTACGGTATGCAGGAAATACGGCAATACGCAGAGCCTCTGTAAGTGTGAAATCGCGTACTAAGCAGCGCCAAGAAATTGGGCCATGATTGTTACAAGCAAGGTTCCCACGAAATCTGAAAATAAAATTCAGTGACCTTTCCTGCACTTTCCAGAACTAGAATAGGACAATTTCCATGGCATTTAATGCCACTCTGAACAGAAAATTTGTTTGGTATAATAAATGGAAAGACTGCCATAGTACTATCCATAACCACAATCAAAATCATCTTAAGATCTTGATTTCCACGACTTTTCCTCAAACTAATTTTCCGTGAGTTTTCCATGGCTTTCTGGGACAACTTTTTCCCAGGATTTTCAATGACTATCATTTGCAGTTATCTAAAAGTTATCCAAAATTGTAGTTGAAAAGCACCTCGGTCTAGACAGAGGACTAAATTCTGTGAGAAACTATTCTTTCTGGTGAATGGTTATCATGACGAAACAATGATTTCAAGCAGGTGCCTTCTCAAATTTTTGGCAAGTCACCATTAGAAATGCATGCAAGCGTTGACACGATGCACAGACACTAGCAGTTTCTATAATTCATCAGTTCAGGGGGGTGACAAGGTGTAGCTGCATTCGACTGAATATGAGAATGTTTCCAAGATGCTGAATTCAGGCACAATTTAATACATGACTCAGCAACTTTTGATCTGAAATCTAAGTCCTAGAATAGGTTTCTCTGAATAGCATTCACTATTGAGCTGAAACTTCATCTTCATCAGGTTCGTTCTTGTGTTCCCTTCTTTAGACTTTGAGTAATTTTGTTGCTTCAAAGGAAACTAATCCACAAAAGACAAATGGTGGACTGTATCTTTAAACAAATTGTTGCAACAACCAAAATCATGACTATTATTGTCACAAAACAAGAGATGGCTACTCTACTGGGGCAGTGATGCCAGAAGATAAGCTCACAGGCAGGGGACCAACCACACTGTTATCACCTTACTCTATAAGGCCATTGATGCCAGAAGATGAGCCCAGGGGCAGGGAACCAACCATGCTGCTATCACCTTACTCTATCAGGCCAGTGATGCCAGAAGATGAGCCCAGGGAGCAGGGAACCAACCACGCTGCTATCACCTTTAACACCTGGTAAAAATACAGTAACAAAAAGGGAGCAGTTATGTCTGTATGCATTGTAATAAATGTACTTTTGTTTGAGCATGTCCCCAGCAGAGTTGTGGGTTTTAAGGCGTGTGGCTGAGGTAAGATGATTCAAGCCACGAGTGAGTGGCTTCAGTCATTTGGCACAGACTTTTGTCATTCAGTCAGCCTTAGCCGGCTAATTCGGAAAAGGTCCATCTTCAGCCAGTTGAACAAACAACAGGAGGTACCCAGTGACTGCTTTCTCAACTTAACAAATTGTGAAAAGTCTGGCTGTGTGAGTGGAAATTTCTTGAAGAACCTCTGAATTTTAACCAAGAGAGCTGGGGAAAGGGGATAGGGAATTTACCCTCATGTTTCCAATATTATAGAGGTGCATATTTTCCAGAAGCCCTCTGGAGTTTTTTGAATAACTCTTTTGGGTCATTCTGACAAAGTACACTTTACATGTGCCTTCACCGTCTGTGCTATGGCTAACATCAGAATCATCTTCATCATTTTCTGTGAGGCCAAACTTGTCGGAGCTTACAAAGTGTAGAATGTTTATTTAAGCAGCAAGACGTACATATAAGGACAGCATAGAAAGATGGTGGTTCCTGGAAACCTTTCCGAATCCTAAAAAATCCTCCCCAGAATGATACATTTTTCCGAAATTCTACGGACACATTAAGTCCCATTTGAATTCAAAGAGGCTGGGGTGAGCTCTACCTTGGTGGATTTTGAAGGATCTGGGAAGGTTGGCATTCAGACACATGCAATTGTACGGGGGAAAATGAGTAAACTTGCAGGAATGAAGTTCACTTTCTCAATCCAGCTTGTCATTGAATAACCTGGTGCTGGGAAGGAACTTACTCAGGTTCTGTGCTATCCACTGATGCTGCCCACTCATTGGCCACTCCTTGCTCCATTATCCTCTCTTAATGACTTCATCCTACAATACAAACAAACAAACAAACAAACAAACAAACAAACAAACAAAAACAATGCATCCCTTCAGCTGTTACTGTTGTCACAGCAACATCCTTCATTTATTGTTGAAGCCCCCTAACCATGCTAACTGTGCGCCTCCTAACTTTGGCGCAGTTTGATTTTTTTGCCTCCAGTGCCTTGCTAGAGCAACATTTTTACCTCAAATTTTAAAGTAAGTGGAATTTCATCAAAGTCCCACTTATCTAATTCAAAACTCCTGATTTTACTCATCCACTACAACTTTCCAATAAAATTTTTATTTTGGCTCAATTTTCCATTTTTTTCCTTCAGTGAAAAATGAACTAACTTCTAATCCCGCCCAAAATTTAAAATAATTTTCCAACAAACCTTTGTTTAAGTGTATTTAAATTGAGGTAATAATAGAAATTATTATGTTTACAGAACTTCTCAAAATGTTTATGTGGGGTTTTGGCAATTTTTTTCAAGGGCGTCACATGAGGGAACACCAACACTCAAGATGCAATGGCACAATTTCTTGATATCCTTGATGTTAGTCGAGATGTAGGCCTACATGTACAGAAAGAAATCAATTACTGATGCACCTAATATTTCCCTACAGACACAGTGACCTAACATTATTAGTATAACCGGTAGGTACTACCAGCCACCTCAAAGCAATAAAAAAGTGTCCTAACGGGCCAAAATTAGTAGTGAAAATGTTGCTGTATTCAATTAGGAAACACTTGAACATTTCAGACCAGTGTGTAAGGTTTCTTCCTCCATGGTTCATTTGTGCAAAGGGTGTCAAGCCCAATCCATATTACATCATCATTTATTTTCATTTATTTATTTATCTGATCATCCAACAGCTCATTTACTAATTTAGCGCCAATTACAGGATGATAATGAGTGACGAAGACAATGAAGAAATGTTCAGTTTTAGAGGTGGGAAGAAAAGCCTGGATAAGTGTACATCATCATACATCATGGAATTCTTTCTGAAATGTACATGTAGGTCTATCTGCCTTGAGCAGAAGCACCCCGTCATTGGTTGAAAAGAGCCACGTCATGCATGTTGGCTGGGAGAGTTCATTTACTGGTAGTGACGCAACTGTGATGCGTGTACTTCATAGTCTCCTGTGATGCAGTTCCCACCAAAGGAGCCTCCATTGCTAGGAAAATTGTGCCCTCTCATGGTCCCACCCTGGTCTCATATATGTACCTGTACATAACCCTAGGGCCTAACTGAAGAGACCGAAAGTGCCGTCCAATCTGGGCTAGGTGAGGGGCCCAGGCTGAGACTAACAACATGACTGATGGAGAAAAGATATTCCCAATGTTCAGGAGGTTTACCCCAAGAACTGTGGGGGTATGCCTAGTGGTAGGATGATCTAAAGTCACTAATCTGTGTGATTTGCGGCCATGTTGGTTTTATAGCTCCCTGGATTTTTAGGGGTTACGAGAGGGGTTGCGTTGCTATCAGGCTATCTGTTTTTGAATCCAGCATTTAAATATTGAGTATCATAACCGGTGACACAAATTTAACCTTTCAATCAGATTTCCCCGTAAGAGCAACCGTAAGATACACACATGTATAGCTCTTGAAAACTGTGTAATTAACGCCAGTTTTTAGACTGTAAGACCAATCTTACTTTGAAAAATGGGAGGGTTTACTCACGTATATTACACTCTCTCCGCAACAATCGCATTGTACAGCTAGCTACAACTGTGTGCGTCACACGCTCAGTGCACATGCGCAGGCCAATGGCCAATTTAGCAAGGTTAGTTTGTCCAAAAATCAAGGAGGCAGAGTCTACTGAGTGGAGCGTGAGGGTGGAATCTTGTTATTATCGCATGAGTGACCTTTGACGTGTCTGAGCCATGTGACTGGAGTGCTACTATCACCCCCCCCCCTGTGCCAGCTGTGACTGGTTGAACACCGCCATCTCCAAAAATAGTCGAAATGACATGCATGTGCGGAACTGGCCCTTGGCTGTCGCTGCATGTGCACTGTGATGATGCACACAAAAAGTACGGCGCGATCATTGGGAAGAACACGGAAGAATGAGGAAACCCTCCGTGTTTTGGGTGTAAAAACCTCCTTTAGCAGTGCGTACGTACCTCAAGCTTAATGGTTGCTCTCATTCTCAAGGGAAAATTTGATTGTCACTTATCTATCTTCAGAACTGAAGGGTTTCACGTCCACCCCGCGGACATAAAAAAATGTATAAAATTTATTTAAAAAGTATAAAATTTGCATGATTCCGTGCAAATTCTTTTGTATTTGGACAATTAGCCTACCATACCGAAGAGCGTTCCAAACCTTGTCCAAAGTCCTGTTTTCCCATTGTGCGCATGCACGCGGCACCACAGACATATAAACGCGCACAGACCACCAGTCTTGCGCGGTAACATAAAGTTAAAAATCAGGGAGGGGGGATTTGGCCAAGTCCTGGGAGCCAAGTTCTCATTGTTTGAAGCTGAGTCCAGAAGGTCAATTATTATAGACTACGTTCAAGTCTGAGTCTTTGAAAATCCACCGATCTGACAACTTAACACAGAAGTTACTAGTGTACCAGGTGTATGATTGCCTGGTTTTTGTCTAATTATTCCATCCAAATAAGTTTGTCAACTGAACTTAATTCAAGTACATGTACTTGTATATGCAGAACCCTTTGCACGGAAATTGACCAACATGTGGTTTGCGAGCATGAAATCTCCCTTTGACCCTCTGTATGGCCCTCCATAGACCTGACCATAGTCAGTTGATCCAAATACCTTTACTTCATAGATTCAATATTATAATTCGGTTTTGGTAGGTTTTCTCTCATACGCGTATAATGTAAAACTACAGTCACTTTGTTTCGCCACGTCAGCTCCTGCAACTTCGAAGTTGAATAATGGAATTTTCCTTTTTTTTGTTCTTGGATAAGTTTAATTTCGTAAGTGTTCTTTATTCTCTTTCAATGATAATAAATGAATGATTTGGAAATTGTTGTATGAGAATTTAATTATACCTTGCCACAAGTAATTCGATTTAAACTGTGCATAGCTTTAACCATTGCTTATTAAGTTTAGTTTAGATCAGTTTAGCGATTAGATGATAATCTTCTTTTACCTAGGTCGAACCATCAACATCATCATCAATATTGTCATAATTATCGTCAGATATCGCCATCGTCGTATAGACAATGATCGTCACCCTTTTTAGTTGAGATACATGCAGAATAAATGATGGTGATATGTGTGTATTTTATTGATGCATTTGACATTTTACTGACATTTGCCACTGCCGAAACTCTCAATTCGGCAGTGGCAATGTCTCTTTGAACTTTACCGTCACATCAGGAACCAAGTTCTTCATTGACTTTGGTGTCAGGCTTAATAGGCTATGTATACAGTATGTTTGTATGTTTATAAATAAAGTGTACATGCAATGTTAGATTTCTGGAAATACTTATATGCCAAAGTTTGTCAAGTTGACTAGAAAGACTGGGATTTTGCCTTCTCGTCTACGGTAATTAAGCGCCTGCCGTTCCCAAATTACAAGGCCAGCTCATGCACGTCAGTTGGCCTACCTGTGCAAATAAAATGTATATGTAATGTTAGAATTCTGGAAATACTTATATGCCAAAGTTTGTCAAGCCGGCAGGAAAAACTGAGATTTTGCCTTCGTATCTATCGTAATAAATGATGCATCTAAGTGTCTGGCCTTCCTAAATTACAAGGTCAGGCATCTCATGCACATGTCAGTTGGCCTACATATGTAAATAAAGTGCACATGCAATGTTAGAATTCTGGAAATACATGTACTTTAATACAGGTATGCTAAAGCGTGTTGAAACTAGCTTGAAATATTTTTATTCATGCTGCAGCCAAGTGCCCGTCTTCAAAAAGCTGCAAAACGGACGTTCAGAGATAATTGTATTTGGAAATGATCTCTACATGTATTTGCACACAAAAAAATCCAAATCGAAAAATGACTGATTTTCATGTTTGTTTCGCTTCTTGAGCACAGCGACGACATATGCAAATTGCACATACTTAAAAAGGAGTGTTGCTGCAGTTGTTCTCCATTTTCCTTTCAAAATAAAGTTAAACGAAAGTGACAGTTTTCGCACGCAGTATTTGGCTTTCTATAATGGGACGGGTACTACCGCGATTCCTGCGCTCTCTCGCAGATCTGCCTGCCAGCTTGCCCAGTTGAATGCATTCATTACCAGTCATATAGGTGCAGTGGGTTGTCGGCTTTTTAATTGCATGGAAATTATGGGTAGTTCATTTCATTCCCCAAATATGGCAATAACATAAGCCTGGCCCGGCAGAAAAGCGAAAGAAACGGGTCTTCGAAAAAAAAAACATTTCATCGTTATTGGTCTTTACTAGTCAAAATGTTAACGCAAAGCGATTGTAATTCCTCTGGCAGTGTGGAGTTTTTAGACACTCACGTTTGGCCAAACACAAAGAACGACAAGTGACGAGACATCCCTTGCTTTCATGGGAATTTATTCTGCACAAATGACATACGAATAAAGCAAGATCATTGACTGATGATGAGCTGGTGTAGACATAAATGTAGGCATTTGGAGTGTTACTTAAATACAATAAAAAAAATTGGCGTTGTGTTCAATGTGAAAAGAATTGGGGAAAAGGGCCTTTCCAAAGAATGAACTGAATCCAACTTCTTCGTACTTTATCACAGAGGGCGGTTATAGCATAAAATGGTTTCCACTTCACTATAATGCCTGAAAATATGTCCAGGGTGCTGAGAGGAGGGCAATGTTGGACTTTTGTTACCCTAGAGGTTTAAAATTCGCAAATTCGAATTTCACAGATTTTCACTTTACTTTTCGTAATTGGTAATGTCCAAAACGGTGGCGCAGCCATTAGCAAAGTAACACAGTGTGATCATTCTTGCTTTCTCCTGCATGTAGAAGGCGTGCTTTTTCATGCTTCACTCTTCAATTTTCCCCAAGATGATAACCGGTATAGGACTATGCCGAATATCCGAATACTGAAATATTCGATCGAACTGAGGGCGAAATATTCGAATAGTCAATTATTCGAAATGACTCAGCCTCAAACCGGTATAGCCTCTTCGTTCAAAAAGGCCGACATTGGAAAAATTAGATTCTGTAAATAATCCACACAAGCTCCTTTGTTTTATAACCAATCCATGGTCTTGTAAATGAATGCTCACTTCAACAGCACTAACCAAGATTGTAAGCGCAAACATGGATTTTTAGAGAACGTTGCAGCTTTCAAGAAGATGCGAGCAGGAACGATCAGTTTGTTTGGTTATCCTCCAGAAGAGTGCAGTTTCCAAACAGAGAGCTAGTTCTTGCAATTATCTCTTCAAATTTACGGGTATTTTTATTTGTGTACAAATTACTGAGGATATTAAAAACATGGATTGTTATAGATGCCATAACACATGCTTGCCATAAAAAGTGTAATATTCTACCACTGTCTCCCACAAACAGTGTTTTTAGACAAGAAGAATGAGTGGGTTTCCAATGTCAAACAATGTTGCCTTCAAGACACATTTGCTGCTTGCTGTGACTGCAGTGTATATGCTGTATCATTGGGACCTTGAAGTCTCATTTCTACAATGAAGAATACCACTGACCCAGTTTGGGGCACTTCACAAGAAATCTGTGTACACAGTTTCGCTACTTTTATCCAGAAACACAAATTGTATCCACGTGAGATTCCTGCGACTGTTCTGGTTCGCTCAACAAACTTATCATTACCGACTTGGTGAGGCAAATTGAAATCCCTCCACGTCGACATTTTACCGCTGTACTTAGCCGATGTAATCAAACGTTGCGCTGAAAACAACTTTCTCCGGTATCTCAATAATGCAGTTTTATTAAAACAATTCAGTTTTGGCATGCGCTGACAACTTCCGAGAATGCTGACAGATATGAATGGTTACTACGACAAACACTTTGAAGTCTCCGCACCGGTCCGTTCCAAGTCCCTGACCTTGCAGTAGAGTTTGACAACGTAGCACAGCGTGCTCAACGCGATGATGGCGAACGATATACCCACGATGATCTCAATTGCCAGAGGCGAAACATAATTCGTGCAGATCAACCTGAAGATATCCGACTCCTTGATCATAAATACAGAGAAGTTTGCGAATGACGGGGGCGAGGAGCAGGTAATGCCTGTGTAAGAGGTCACGCCCATAGCGTCCGTGTACTGCATCCAGGTGTGCCGCTTGCTGTCCGGGAACATCGCCTCTCGGATCCATCGCATCTGGCAGTCGCAGTGCCAGGGATTGTCGTCAAGTTTGACGGCCACCAGATTGGGCAAGTCGAATGTCTCCTCCATCACCGTCCTAATACGATTGTCGTTCAGAAAGATTCCCTTTAAGTTGTTAGAGCCCCGAAAAGCCCCTGGTGAGATGTACTCTATCAAATTGCCACTCAAGGCTAAATTTGATAGACTGGACATGTTGCAGAACTGATTGGATACCCGTATCAGGCGGTTCATCCGTAGGTCCAAGATGTCCAGAGATTCCAGCGGTCTCAGAATGGCTCTGGTCAGTCTGTCAATTCTGTTCTTCATCAGAAATAAGTCCCAAAGATGTTCCAAGCCAACGAAGCTCCCGTTGTTGAGTCTGCGTATTCTGTTATTGCTGAGGTCTAAGGTTCTCAAGTAAGTTCCAATGAAGGTTCCAGGAGGCAGCTCCCGGATCTGATTAACCGAAAGGTCCAGGTCTAAGATGCTATAGGAGTTGAAAAAGGCTCCTCGTCTGAGTGCAGCTATCCGGTTGTTATTCAACTTCAAAATTCCCAGTTCGCCCAGCATGCTGAAACAAGCCTCTGGAATGGCTGTAATGGAGTTTAGACTGAGGTCCAGGTACTTAAGGAATGGAAACAACAGAAAGTCTTCACAAGGGATATCGAGCAGGTCGTTTCCGCTCACCACGAGACGTTCCAAGTTTGGTAAAAAGAAGTCAGTACCGGTGGCTGTCAACAGATTAGCGGCAGCCGTAGGGTGGCCCTGCTCCAGCATGGACCCAAGTTCTAGCACCCACGTATTGGGCACGCTACTCAGCCAGCCCATTGACACCATCTGGATTTGATTGTGCGTTAGGTGCAACTCTTCCAGCTTGGACAAGTTGCCGAAGATCTCACCAGAGAGGGTCTGGATGGAATTGTCCGAGAGGTAGAGAATGGCCAACTCGTGCAACTTGCTAAACACACCGTTGGGCAGGAAGCTGAGAGAATTACTGCCGAGGTCCAGGACCTCCAGCTGAGTCAGGTTGGCGAAGTCGTGCACGTGGAGAGACCGAAGGTGATTATTGTGCACGATAAGTTCTTTCAGTGAAGACGCTCCCGAGACCGCAGTAGGGATGCCGGTCAAGTGATTGGAGCTCAAGTCCAGCCGCTTAAGCCTAGGTACATTAACCAGGGCGTCGTCCACCATATACTGGATGCTATTTTCTGTTAAATTCAGCTTTCTCAATGAGCTAATGGGAACTGGTGATAGCCTCCCCATGTATGTGAAATTCTGCCGGTGAAGTTCAAGTGTTTTGGTGTCGCGCGGAAGATCCAGTGGAACCGCTGTGAAAAGATTCCTCACACACGAAACAGTCTTCGTCCTCCTCTCACAGTGACAGTAATTGGGGCATCGGTAGGGTAGGAAACCGACCGCCATTGTCAGATGTATCACCGTGAACAAGAGAAGCGCTTCCCTGCGCATTCGCAACGAAGGCCTCATTCTTCCCTGAAATTTAAAAGAGCAAAACAGTAATGTATGAATCACTGAAGGCAATTACGACTTTCATTTTAAAGTTAAAAATTGTAACTGACACGAAAGGATCTTGAACACGACGTCAACTCCTTTGCTGGCGCTTGCAATGCATTATGACAGAGGTAAACGCTGAGTATTGGTGGCAATGAAAGTACGTGTGGGAAGTCGTACTTGGAAAATGGTAAATAATGTTTCCTTCTTTCTGTTAAGTAGGCAAGGGTTACACTGTAAAAAGGTTGGTTAATTTTTGGGTTGATATTTTGCCCAATGTTGGTAAAAATATCAACTTAGCAACCTTTGGGCAAATTCTTCCCAATATTTGGTCAATGTTTGACCGACAGGGACGGAAGATTGACCAACAATGTGGTAGCTTTATCCAAGGTTGGGCAAATAACAAATACCCAACACTGTTTTGACCGACTTTTTTTTTACCATGTAAGGCCTGTGCACGAGTCTTATGACTCCTGCGCAGGCCTTATAGCCCTTACGGACTTATAAATCACACGCCTTGTAACTCAAATAAATGACAGTCAGCCTAATGTTCGACTGAAAACTGAACGAGTCATTATCTTGGAGGGGGGCTTACCAAGGCACCCCTTGGCCGGAGGCTTCCCAAGGCACCCATTCCCTTAGGCGAACCAATGGCTTTATATGCCTGCGACTAAAGGCGCCTCTCCATGTGTACGTCAACACTTACGTAAAGCTTTGCATATCTGCCAAAATCGCTCCCGGAGCGATTTTGACGACCTCACACAACGTACACGTGTGTTTTGTTGATGGAATCGCTTTTTTATGTACGTGAAAGTGAAACGCATGAACGCATCGCGTACGCGACGCAGCCAAAAACGTACATATAGAAAGGCGCCTTAAGATAGTGTTTAGGCCTTCCAAACGTAAGGAAATTTCGAGGGAAACGGAATATTGTTCATTCATCGTCCTATTCTAAAATTGAAGTACCCAAAGAAAACACCTATACAAAAGGCCTTCAGGGGAAACTTTTTTTTAATTTTTTATAAATTAAAAGAAAAAATAACACTGCAAATACCGTACATATAAAGGTTAGCCACTGTGGAAGCCACAACATCTCGCATGCATTTTATACTCATTTGATACTGGCTGAAGCAAACACAATCACCCTGCTTGCCTACAAGCAGGAAAAAGCAACCGGACATGCGTCGATTCAGAACGCTTATGGCGTGTGGTGTATGCTTTCCCTTATGTGTTATTTTCAAGGAGTATTATTGTTTACAACAAACGCACGTCAACGCATCTATTGAAGCGTACACGTCGACGAAGGTGTGCTCATAGCACAGTGAATAAGAATTGCAATTTTGAAAGAAAAATCGATGGAAAGAACAGCCTGGCTGACGCTTATACATGTACTCCGCAATGTGGACAGAAAAGAGTGGAATTCTTCAGTCAATTCAAATCAGTTGAAAATCTACGTTCGCCTATATAGACGTCTGATGCGGGATTCACGATTCGTAATACTACCCTGAGAAATCATGAGAAAATCGTAATGTGGTTATTACGTATGGAAGCATTCATTAATTGGGTGGCTTAGAGTCCCGAGTTCAGATTTTTAGTCAAAATACCATTGCATTAGCACACTTGAGGTGGAGGGGGCTTCCCCTATAACTGTGAAAGCGTGGATTAATTATACCAATTGTTTCATGTCCGCTCAGAACCAATCTTCGGAGATTTTAAGTGGTGTGAAATCAAACACATTTGCCTGATGCGCATGTGCAGGTATTTGAATTTCATTGATGTTTGTGCAATCCGGACTAAAAAATATATGCTAAATCTACATGTCGTGTCACTCTTTGCAGCCCAAAAGCAAAGGCTTCTGAGATGAGGGCAGACAACCACCAAAATATTGCTCTTTCCACTGAAGCATTTGGCTCACCTGACAACTATCGTTAATACGTTTAGGCTTCTTTAGAAAAATGCAATGCTACAAGGATGCTGGTAGTATATTATGATATCCACAAGCACAATATGCAACAACGTGAGCTGCACTTTGTCTTAGTCCTATGATGGGCTCAAAGGGAAAATTGTTTGCCTCTTGTATAAAACTTATTCAAATTCAGTAAAAAGATCGTTTTATTTAGGGGGTCGTTTTACTTTTGTGTATAGCCTACACAACAAAGACTGTTCTCTTTCGTCTTGTTATGACAGTGCCTTCAGTGCATTGAATACATTCAAGGCACTGACGTTATTTCGAGTGTCTCTTTCACTAAACCGCTCAAAGGATATGTTTCATTTATTTACATTAGAACAGCAGTGAAAATCAGAGAACATGCTTGCGACGCACACCAAGAAGGAGAACCGAACAAGATCGTGGAATTGAAAAGATTTCAGGAATTTCCCTAAATTTAGTCGGACAGGTCTCACATTAATATGACCACAGATGTATAGATCCACGAGACTTAAAGTCCCATGGCAAAAGGCTTGCCAGGGACAAAGTTTTATCCGGAGATATCAAAGGATGATTGCCAAAGACTAGTAGGAAATTCATTTGAACCTCAGGCTACTGTGTTGTGCAAGGTATTACTCTAAGCGCCTGAACTTCACCCAGGAAGACCGCAGATTCCTTATCAATTCACAGGTGCCCCTATATCAGCGGGTACTCGAAGATATTTATGCAAACGAAGTCTGCAAGCGGGTAGAAGTGACAGCAGCTGTAACGTAGAGTGTGCTAATCTTGCGACTTTCAGCGTGTTTTATTCGCGTAAGAGGTTTTGGGCCCGGAATACTGACATAATTATAATTATCTTCCCACTAAATCCTTTGAAAGTGAGAGCCTTAGGGAATTCATTATCAATTTGAAATGAATTGACTCAACTTGATTTTATTATCTATTTTTTTGTTTCTTTTTAACCAAATGTAGCTTGTGGTTAAGGTCTGTCACCAAATACAATTTCCTCTATAACTTGGACGGCACACAATAATTTCTAACACCCTTTTTGCCTTGTTCTTTTCATTAGATTTTAAGTCAACCTTCAGAGAAAGTCTGACAGCAAAAATACGGTTCTGCGTGTTTTAATAACAGTTTCAGGGTTTGGGGACCTGGGTCAAGCACAAATGGATTTTTCGTAAATTATTGAAATGTTTAATATACAAATAATGAATATTTCACATTTGTGCAGTGGTAAGAATAATTTCTTGGGGTGACAGATTGCATGTTTTATTGCTCAACGTGAATAGAACATTCAACGCCTGAATAAAGCATTTGTAAACTTTCAATACGGGTCGCCGTTTTACTTTGATTGTCCACTCTCTGTGTTTGACAATCTCTTTGATATTAGGCCTGTTAGTTTCACACAGATATGGATCAGTGATCCTAAAGCTGGTTCGCACCATCGATTATGCAGGTTTTGGTGTCAGTAAACCGTAATGATGGATTACAGATCGTGATCTGGATCCGTTTGAAACAAACACGGCCACAGTTTGGCATTCAAACAGCACATGCCCCACAGTGCAGCGCGTGCTTTGTTCCCGAATCACCTAGCTTTTTCAAAATACCAGATTAGCTCATTATGGAAGCATAACCATGCATTATTAAAGAGTTCCGAATTTCCACATTTGACAGACGACAAAATGTCACTGGTATTTCGTGTGTATGGGTGTCGCCCAAACTTTAGTGTTAATTGTGTTAAGAGCCGTCATTTTGAACCAGGAAGTACAAACGAATGGAATACACACGCGTGTCGGTTCACGCGCTGGTTCTTACGCTAATTTCCTTTTGCGCGTGACATGTTCACTTCGGTACTAAAAGCTGCGACTGTCCGTATCGTGTGTCTCTGCACATTACAACGGTATAATTTCGCTGAGCTCGATTTGTTGTTCGTGGATCGGCCGCTCGAACGCCGGTAACAAACAACCGGTAATTGCTGGTTGGTGAAAGTGGAAAGCAACATGCGACATGGCGGCGACCATGTACGTTATTCGATAGTTAATGTTTGGATGGCCTAAATTCTTTTCTGTTTAAATAGGAACATTCATTTCTGTGTTATGGAAAATAATTAATGTTAATTTTGGAAAATTCAACGGTACCTGTTTAATAGAATGAATAATTCACTGACATGTGTATAACAATCTACCAATAAGATGACGTGGATTTATGCGGGTATGGTATGAGTAAAAAATGAATAGTGGTGGCTCTTGTCATTGAGATACTGGGGCTCATTTCCCTGCGGATTAATATCAGTGTTCATCCGAGTAGGTTCAACGAAATGCACGGACTATCTTGCGATGAAGTGCTGTTATAAAGCCTAACACCTTCCACTATTGTTTCCGCCCTTATGAAAAGAAAAAAAAACTACCGTATTTCGAAGCAAGCTGTGATACTTCTGAATAAACGGCATTTAACGTGATATTTCCAAACACGATTAAGCTACTGTGATAATCTGATGGCCTGTACATCATCACACCAAATCACCACACAAAAAAATTGTTCGAAAATATTGAATAACTGTAGAGCTCAAAGTGGCAGATAAATGTCCTGTGCGTTTCTGTTAGACATATGAGGGTATAGGGAATAAGCGAAATCACTGGGGCTTTGTGGCCAGAGTTACGGCACACGTCACCTAATGCCCTTGTGCAAAATCACTTTCCTCAATTAGATAGGGTGACCAGTTGCCTACACAATTATTTCTTCATAATAGATTTTCCCAAATCTTATAACTTGTAAGCAAAACAGCACTCCGTAATCTATATTTAAACGAAGTCTTCATTGAAGCTGTAGAGTGCGAGACTTCAAAATGTAATCATTTTTATGCAATCTTCTTCCCTGGCGCGTTGAGTACAGGAACGTGAGTAAATTTCAGGAACTTACAGACGAGTGAAACCGTCAGTACATCTATGCATTACTACAGTACGAGGCCGTCAAAGAAAATATTACGGTTATTGGCTTTTTCGCAACCTTTGCGAAAAAGTCTATCTTTCGTTCAGATTTTTTTTTGTTGGCTGGG